ACTACTCCATAATCATGGAGGAAGTCATCACAGATATAATTAAAGAGTAAGAAAGCATCAATCTAACGTTACAATCCAAACTCCCGTATTGAATTGATGGAAAGATGATGCAATCTTGTGTCTTCTAGCCTCCATTGCTCTCCCAAATCTTCCAAGGTCAAAAGTCCCTTCAAAAATGTCTTTTTGGTGTATTTATACCATGTAGAAGTGGGGTCGGTGATGTGCCGTAGAATTTTGGTACTTTTGATACTAATTACATAGACTTTAGCTCGTCTTTTAAAGAATTTTTAGTTATTTCTTATGAAGTTTAGGTGTTTTGAAGTGTACGAGACTTGAAGAACCAAGAACACGGAAAAGAAGACAAAAACCCATAGAAGGGGAGAAATGCGGTAGGTCTGCGACCGCAGAAGTGATATGCGGGCCGCAAACCAACCGCAAACTGAAACAGGCGTTCCAGCTCTTGAAAAGAGAAATATGCGGTCTATTATGCGGTCGCATAACGCTTCTGCGGACCGCATAATGACTGCATAAGTGCAAAAGGAGATTTTGCGAGAGTACTTTTGCGATGCAGTCTGCGGTCGCATAGTCAATATGTGGTCCGCGTAATGGATCTGCGATAGGGAACTGGGTAACTGGGCATGCAATTATGCGATGACTTTGTATTTCCGCGGACAGCATACATGATCTGCGACCCATTCTGCGATCGCAGATCTAATCTTCAGGGGCATTTTTGTCTAAATTTGACCCCGACTTTTAGCCCATTATAAATAAATTTACTAGGGTTTTTGTGGGGCATCTTGTCTGAAAAAGAGTCTACATTGAGAGCATTTTGGATTCTAATATGAGTAGCTAGTTTTAAATACTAAGATTGTGGACCTTAAATGAGTGTAATGTTAATGGGTTGTTATTTATTCATTTCTCATGCTTCATTTAATGTTGATGGTTGCAAACATTGACTAATGCCATTTCACTCTATCTTTACTTGGAAAAGTGGGTTAGGGTTTGGTAGAAGTGAATAACAAAAACTCAAGGTTTTAACCCTTGTTTAATAGAATCACTTGGGAATAAGTGAGTTTTATTTGGCATAAATTGGTTGTCCTTAATTGTAACTCTGTTATATTTGGAAAAATTATAAAGAGGAAATTCTACCTATCTATTGGGAAATATTGGGTAGTCATTTAGGAACCATTTGCATATCAAAGGACCTTCCATTAGAAATATATCATATTAACATCGATAGCATTACATTCCATTAATGGGGACACAACCTTGGTTTTCTAAACCAGATTAATTACACTCTCATAACAAAATAGTTATCTTGTTAACTCACAGTTACAACATTCTCTTTTTAAGCTAAAAGGGTATAATTACGACTTAAGTCAAGTTTCACACTATTCAAGTAACCTTTTCACACCTATTCCCCGTGGGATTCGACCTCAACCTTGTTGGGTTATTATATTTGACACAGACTACCTTACACTATTTATTTAAGTGTAATCTGAGCGTATCACTCGGGCACAAATACTTTTTCCAAGAAGAAACAGGAAAGTACTTTGATCACAAACGTGCGCCACCCCATGCGGGGCGCTAGTAGGAAAGTTCAGAGAGCAACTTCTGACGGACAGCAACACAAAAGCATTGCCACGCCGCCCCATGCGGCGCGACGGTACAAGTTTTACAGGGTATTTTTTTTTGTTCACGTTCTGACATCCAGACTTGGCTCCCAACCACCAAACGCGATCCCGGTTTAATTTCTTGGGCTTTTACTCGGACTTCAAAGCTCCACATTGTTCAATATATTTCCAAACTATCTTTTTAACTTGAAATCACTTCCTGCAAGGCATAAACACATAATAAGTGCAATACACTGACATTTAAGCTCAAACACAAGTAAAATGCAGTAATTGGAGTGCAAACTATGACTTAAATATGGGATTCTAGCCTACCATCAGGTTATCGTTGAAGGTATTCCCACTTTACGTAAAAATTTATAACTCTACCCACTTTAATATCAATTTCACACTTATCAGGTATGAAGTTGAAGGGAAAAACAAATTTTAATTTCAAGTGCAATATACTTAAGGTCAATTAAGTCTAAAGTAAAAGTACTGCACTTAATGCCAAAGAAGTCTGAAGTGCAACAAATGTTTTCATGTACTTAAGTCCAAATGGATCTGAAGTGAAAAAATTACACCTAAGATGCACTTAAAGCCAAATAGGTTTGAAGTGCAATCAATATTTTCATGCAGTTAATGCCAAATAGGTCTGAAGTACAAATTACCTAGAAACAGAAACTTGTTCTTCGAATTTCCACAATTCAACACATAATTTAACACCTAAATCTACTCCAAATAAGTTCAAATTTGAAATATAGCCTCCAAATATCATAAAGAATAAATCTAACAAATTGATTTTGCAAATTAAGAAGAAGAAGAAGAAATCCTCAGCAATACCAAAGAAAAGAGTGCTACATCAGCTCACTACTGTAAATACCTTAAACCACCTTAAAGCATGCTCACAAATACCATGTAAATTCACTGTCACCTTTGTTTTCACAACGACTAAGAAGAAGAAGAAGAAGAAGAAGAAGAAGAAGAAGAAGAAGAAGAAGAAGAAGAAGAAGAAGAAGAAGAAGAAGAATGAGGAGAAAATTAAAAGCCTGAAATTGTCTATACTTTAGGTACTAGTTAAACTTTTTTTTTAAAAGTGGGTACAAGTAAATGGGGACGAGTCAATAGGGTGCAAGATAAAAAATTTACTATTAAAATTTAGGGGGTTTTGACACAGTTACCAACAAAAACAAAACTATTTACCCTTGTCTACCATTTGTTTTCCTACCCATAAACTAATTACATTTCCTACCCATAGTAGATTTTTGTGGGGAATTTTTTCTTTATTCTCCAATTCTTTTTTATTTCTATGCTTCTTTTCTTTTCTTTTTTATTTTTTTTCTTTTCTCCTTTTCTTTTTTCTCGTTTTCTTCTTATTTTTTTCTTTTTTCCTTTTCTAATTTCGTTTAACTTCTTTTTTTTATATTCTTTTTCTCTTCATAATCTAATTTCATTTACTGTTTTCACTATTTTTTATTATTCTTTTTTTTATATTATTACTAAATAAAATCAAATTGTGTACCAATTAAATGTAGCTAATACAACCAAATAAATATTAACTAACATATGATATCAGTATAGTATATAACTATACCAACAGGGTATACAATTGTACGCAAAGAGTTAAAAAATTTTAATTTAATTTTAAACTAAAATAATATCAATTGTCAATAAAAATTTAAAAAATTCTAAAAAGGATCTAATTGTAAGAGTATACCGTTACGTAATATAGCATACTATAATTTTTTTTTTTTTTTTTTTTTTGCATTTTTAATTTGCCCCTCACGCTGGGTAAAAGCTTAAAACAAATTAAAAAGGGAAAAGGCAAGTGAATTTACGGGTAATAAGTATACTATTATAGTATATTGTATACTATTACAGCATATTGTTACAGTATCTTGCATATTGTTACAGTATACCATAACAATATACAACTATAATAGTATAATGTTGCAGTATAACTATATACTCCTATAGTATATTAGTATACTGTAGCGGTATACTGTTTTGTAAACTATAATAGTGTACTGTGCAGTATAGCTATATACTCCTACAGCATATTGTATACCGTAGCGGTATACTGTAGTTGTGTTCTTCTTCGATTTTCAACTGAAAATTTCGATCTCAATCACCTCAAATCAGCTCCAAATGCTATCAAACTTCAGTATGAACTTCCAGAAGGTACTATAAGCAATATTTAACAGCACCCACTTTGAATCAAACAATAAATCTTCAAAAATAAAATTGAGCTTCAAGCCCAACAATGGTGGATAATGGAAAGATTCTCAAAGGATGATATTAGCATGGGATCAGAGACGTAAATGACCAGAGACTTTTGTAAATGCCATACCCACAAATATTATTACTGCCACACAAAACTAAGGATATTCTTTTGGAGTTTGAATCTCTATTTCACCACTTGAGGTTCTCTTTCAAGATTCCTTGTTTGCGGGAACTATTTCATTAAAGTCCGTACTCAACAACTAAAGCCCTTAAATATTTAATTGCATGCCAGAAAAAAAATTATGAGGTTTCTGGACAAGATAATAGAGAAAAGAAGAAAATTCAAAGAAAAGTTTGATAATTTTCTAGCTCAGCTTTTGTTTGCAGGTTGCGTCTGGAAAATTAGCGGGTAATTAATTTGGGCCCCATGGGTAGAAATAGTAAATAGTTTGGACATGGGCATTAAAGGATAAATAGTTTGGATTTAATGGGTATAAAGTGAGATTTTCTCTAAAATTTAACCCAAGTCATTAGAGACAAAGTCAAAATCGTCAATATTGGGTCTTAAATAAAATCTCTCTTTTGTGAGATGAGCATTAATAGTCCCTATATGCGAAAGTGGTGCATAGCCCATCCATGCCCGTGGCCCACTTAGGGCTGGGTTGAGCTGGCTATTCCAAGGCTCTTTCAAAAGTTGGATCGACTTGTCCTAGCAAAAAGTTGCAGAAATATGACAGTGTTTGGGGTAGTCTTTAACTTTTGACCTCCATGAGTAGAACTTTAAGGTCAAAAGTAAAAAAGTATTGTCCCTAGATCAAGCGAAGGACAACACTTGTTAACTTGAAGTTCCGCCCATAAGACAAGCAGGAACGAAAATTCAAGACCATCCACTTTTAGGGCTATTTGTGCACTTCACCCTAATCACATAAATTGGGATTAAAATTGAGGGAGTACTAAATAATGAAAATTATGTACTCTATAGACTAATATAATACTTAGAAATACAACTAAAGGAGTAGAAGAGTCACGCACGCAACATGTTTTGAGAAAGTTCTTTTTTTTTTTCCCATCGACTTGGTTAATTTTATACTCACTCTATTTTTGGGACCATTAAAGCTGTGAGATGCTTAACCTACCATTGACTCAGATTATGATAACAAGTGATCATCACTAAACAACGTGTCAAAAACTAGTTAACAGAGAATTTATATGATTTTAACAGAACTAACCCAAAATTTAACATTTGAAGTAGGAGAATAATGTGACATTAAGTTCCTAACATATCTTTTACACTGATTTGCATTGCAGAAACTTCAACTTGGCCTGATTTGTCATCTGCAATCAGTTTGCAACAAGATGCCTTTGAACAAATGCAGCTCATAAGTCTGCAACAATATACTATTCTTTTAAACAGATGCATTTAAACACCAGATAATGAGCCACCAAAGAGTCAAGCTTTCCACAATATCTTTCAGCTAACCAAATTGACATTTCATAACAGATTCTTGATCTTCAAGTTTTCTCTTTCCATGTTAGGAATCAAAACATATGACTCAAGATCACGATTGTTAGCCATTCATCCACACATCAGATCAACCCCTCTCATCTCTTTAACCCTGTAGCTGCTACTGACGTCTCCTCTGATCAGAGAACACATGCGTAAGTCACTGAAAAATAAACCCTCTAAAAAGATGAACGGATCACCAAAGAAAAGTAGAACAATATTAGGAAAATGAAGATAAGATATTGAAGTAGTGGCTTACTACCTTAATTTGGGAATTTAATATTTTGACTTAGCGCGTTGGACGTCGAACTTGAACTTGGAGAGTGTCACATCCAGTGGTTTCTTCTATTTCTCTTTTGATATTCATAGCTGAATCCCCAACAGAATCCCTGCACTGTTCCACATCAATAAGTTGCAGTGTTGGAATTTCCTCAAAGCATGAAGGGATTTCCTCCAGGTAGATACAATGCTTTATAAATAGCTTCTCAAGCACAGGAAAGGATTCCTCTGAAGCTTTCCGTTCTCTAATATCCATGAAGTTTAATAATTTCAAGTATTTGAGTGCTTGGAATTCGATATCGCTGACGTCCCAACAATCTTCCCCAAAAGTGTCTCGTATTTCTAATTTTAGATTCTCCAGATTCCGCAATCTTGCAATATTTTGATATAACCCTTTGATTGGCAATTCGATTTGAATATGCAAGTACCTAATATTTGAAGGGAAGACAAACTTGTTAGCTGTTTCAACTAATTTCCAGTATCCACGGTTGTAATTGATATATAGTTCAAGAGAATGAAGTCGAGTATGAACTTCCGGTACGGGAAACAATGGACGACTAGGTTCTTCTTGAATGTAGAGATTGAGTTCTTCAAGATTCGGAAATCTCCACCAGAACTTTGGATCCGTATCGTATATACTGCAAGAGCGAAATGTCCTCCAGTTCTCTAGCATTGTTGCTGAAGATTCGTCAAAAATTGCTCGGTCATCATCTTCCCATATAAAGGAAAAACAGAAAATGTACAAATGCCTTAGCTTTGTCATTTCCCAGATAATTGAGGGCGATGACCGTACATATTTTCTTGAGACAACATGTAGAGTTTGAAGATCGTGTAGGTGAGATACCCACTTGAAATCAAATTCTTCGACAGAAATTGCAAGGTACCTCAAGTGAGTTAGCGATTGCACTGCCATAACCCAAGAACTTGGCAACTTAACGTCCAACGAATGAAAGGCCTGGACAAATCTTAATTTAGCAAGTAAAGGTAAAGTAACTGATGGATCCCATGTGTTGCATTTTGGATGAGCAATGAACTCCAAAGGCTTATGCGGCCAATATTCAGAATGAATAAAGTCTTCAACCAAATCATCATGAATATAAATGCATAAGCGCGATTTCTTGGAATACAAATGGCGATATGGATTATATGGCACTGTGAGCTGCATAAAATTTTCCTTTGCAAGTTTTCTACAGCAAAACTCACGCACTACATCATGAAGTGTGCAGCATTCGACGTCACCATTAATTCTCTTTTCAGAGACCATAACTAGGCTTCTATTAAGTAGATCATTCAAGCAAACTCTAGCTGCTTCCTCCATATTCTGTCTCGACATTGAGTACAAACTCTTCCGCCATCCACAACTTCAGCAAATCATATACTGGAATCTTAAAGTCTTCTGGAAACAATCCCATGTAAAGAAGGCAAGGCTTTAAGTGGTCTTCTAAATGGTCGTAACTTGATTGTATTACCTTTATACTCTGCTCATCTAAAGCATGGGAACTTAAGTCATCTGCAACCTCAAGCCACAAAGACTCCTGCCTTTCCATTTTTCCAATAATTCCAGCAATCAGGACAATTACAAGAGGCAAACCTTTGCAGTGTTGGGCAACTTTTAACCCTGCTCCCCGTAGATTCGGGGGACAACTCTCGCCTTGAAATACTTTCTTCTGCAATTATTCCCAACTTTCTTCCAATGTTAGAAATCTAAGAGAATAAGGATCACTGCAGTGCTGGAGATGCTTAGCCACTTCTTCGATTCGAGTTGTTACCATTACTCTACTTCCATCTTCACCTTTAGGGAAACATAATCCCAAATCTTCCCATGCATCAACTTCCCATATATCATCTAATACAATGAGGTATCTCCGGCCTTTTAGAGTTTTCTGCAACTTGTCAGCTATGTCAACATCCTCATCAATTTCGCTCTTATGATCGGTTACTTGTTTGAAAATCTCACCCAACAACTTTATCCTATTATATGCTTGCGAAACAGAACACCAAGCTTTAACATCAAAGTAATTAACAATAGAAGGATTGTCGTACACTTTCCTGGCCAAAGTTGTTTTTCCGAGACCTGGCATTCCAAAGATTGAGATAACATCTAGCTCCTTTGTTCCTTGAATCAATTTCTTCATTATACTTTCTGCATCTTTCTCAAAGCCCACAACTTCCTCCTCAATTGATGGAAAACTACGTCGGGTGGAATGCTCTGCAGACGAAAGAGTTCCTTCTCCACTTGTCTCAACAACCTCCATCTCAATTGTTGAAAACTACCGCTAATTGGTGTCTTTCACGACAGTGTAAACTACAATCCAACTGCCTTAGAGTTAATAGCTCGGTCACCTTCCATAAAATAAATGAAACTACATTAACTTGATGGGCCAAAATGCAATTCAAAATCAAATATACAATCGAATTTGGAGATTGAAAACAATGTAATTTTGAAAGAACTTAAGCTAATAATCTAAGAAAAATACATTAACTTTCACCTTATTTTCTACAAGTAAAATAAAAAGAAGGGGATGTTGGATCATATTGAGCAGGTTAAATTATGACTCGTTACTTGACCCGTCTTAACTCAACTCATTTTGACCTAAACAAACTTTGGAACAACTGGTTACAACTAATTATTGAATTGATCTATTTTGACACACCCAAATTCAAATTGAACTATTACTTAGAAAGTAGTTAACTTGGAGAGGAAAGCTAAAAATATAAGGGAAATCAAATACACTTTCTTCCTAACTGGTGGGAATTGAATATATCAGAATTTGGATCATAAAGTATGAAATTTAGCTACTTTTACTATCTTCTTTATCGTGTTATTTCTTTGGAAAGATCCAAAATTCGTTTTAGTAGATGCAGTTAATAGATGCCATTGTCATTTTCAGAGGAAATGCCATTGTGGAAACTTAAAAAGAAATCTCACCTTCCATTATTGAGAGTGGCAATAAAGAGATATTAATTGCTCCGGTTTGATGCTTTTGGACTAGCTAGGGAAATCGAAATTCAGAATCAGAAAGAATAAGAAAGGATTAGGAGTTGGTGGACTTCAATGGTGAAGAATGAAGAGTACAAACCGTTGATGTAGGAATAAAGGGCAACTCACTGTGCTAAACTCGTCGTTATACGCGGCATCGGGAAGGGCCGATCACAAGGATTTTCTCGATTCGTATTCGGTCGCACGGTAACTTTATCGGTTGTGCCAAAATTTTTCATAATATGGGAATATAATTAAGTAAATAAATAAGTACATGTTAAATAATTCATCCTATACGTTAAGAAGATATAGTAACTTAAGTTTAGGTCTGACTAAATTTTAAAACTCTGAGTCACAACTGTATGTACCCCACGGTATGTGATTTAACTGGAATATGCAACTCAACAACAGCAACAAAAACGTAACAGTAACGATCCAATAAAATTTCACAAGTAGGGTCTGTGAAGAATAGTATGTACGCAGACCTTATCCTTATCTTTACCCCGATGGGACAGAGAGGCTATTTTCGATAGATCCTCGGCTCAAGGAAACAGAAAAGACGAGAAGAGATAAATATCAGTACCGTCAACAGAAATAATAAAAATAATAACAACATCATAAAAATCAAAAAAATAGATGACAAACAATAACTAGTAATTAAAATCCGATACGTGCTGGAATATGCAACTCAAAATTGTAATATATTTAGAAAAAATATATTAGGAGAGCCGAGAGCCCTCGTCAATTTAATAAATTATTGTCCAATTTTACTTCCCAACTCCCAAGAGTTAAATATAATAATTTTAATAGATTATTGACCCATTCCACCTTCCAATGTTCAAAGCTGCCGGCCTAATCGTCAAATATTCGTCACTTAATAAATAGACTTTGTAATAAATAGGGATCCTTTATTTAAGATCAATACAATGACATTACGAACTAATGTCCTCCCCCTAACTTAAACCAAAAAAAAAAAAGAGAGAGAGGGGGAGAGAGAGAAGGGAATACGTTGAGTGTATTGGACCCTGCAAACCTTCCCCCCCCCCCCCCCCCCCCCCCCCCCC